AATTAAGCTAGACATTAGTCAATCATAATTGGCAAAGGAAATATGCTATAAAAATATGATGCAATCTAAGACCAAACAGGACTAATTTTTGGATAATTTGTGTTTTGTGCTACTGTAGCACCATTAGTACAAGTGATTAACACGTCAGTAAAACGATCAGAAATAATTACCTTATTGATAATGGCATATTGATTTGTAATGATGGATATAAGGAAACATTTAGGCTGTTTGTCCAAGATAAATTTCAACACTTCTTTTTCCATCAAGACATCTTTGACTCACAGTTGAATCCTCAGCACTTCCGGCAATGGCCTGGAAAATCTAATTAATTGTGCTGTGGGATTCTTTGGGATTACTTCGTTCTTCTTCTCTTTCGCCTGTATGCCTGTTCTTAGTTAGGTAAATAGGTGGGATAATTCTCCACTTCCTGAGGAAGACAGCATAAACAAAATGCAAATACCCATATGGTTCACCAAACTTAGTCACATGCATATTATTTAGTTAATTCTATAATGATGTAAAAAAAAGTCACAAATGTTAATGATTTCTTGCATGCATAGAATAGTCTCATGCAGGGGTTCAAGCTGCTTTCTAAGTACTGATTAATTAAACCCAAATTTCTGTGTCAGATCATTCACTTTTTTTCCTTTCTTTAAATCCAACTCACTCCACCCAAGCTGAATTGCTGATAATACAGTAAGACCCAAATGAAACGTAACCCCACACACAAATTGCCAGGCATAGTCCTGTAGGTAAATTTTAGCCTAGGAAAACTGGGACACAGCAGTTTTATGATATAAGTACTTACAGAAAAACCACCATAGTATCTTACAACCAGTTCTTCCTAATGACTTTGAAAAAGGGAAAAAAATCACAAGGTTGGGCTCCCCAGGAGAAAGCACAGCGTGAACAAATCCCACATGAATCTGATAAGGAATGAAATAATCAATCCTTATCAGCAGTCAGTCTTCAGAAGTAAAGGTACAACTCTGAGATACGCTTCTGTACGGGAAGCCGACACCTGTCGAGCCCACGCTTCCCACGGTCAGCTACCACATTAATGACACACTGATACTGGGTTAGCAGAGTCCTTTACTGCTCTCATCTGTCCCAACCAGACTGTCTAAAATCTGGAGCCCAGTTCCATGTGAGTATTTAAGTTCTTTCTCCAAATTGGCTGGGAATTCCGTGAAACAGAAACAGAAACACAACCGGGGTGAGCTGTCACAGGTGGGCAAAGAGTGGTGACAAAGGACCCATAGCAGACAGTAAGCAAGATTCAGAGAGAGGCACCCAAATCCTCGGGGATATGATGATTAATTAATGAATTAGGTTTATGTAGCTGCCCCTCCATGCAACTCAAAACGTTGTGTCCAGGACTTGTCTAGCTGGGACGGTAGAGGAGCAGAGAGAGCTTACCCTGCCGTGTTTCCATGTTTCTCCAATCTGCTAGCCTCTGGCAGGCTGCCTCCTGGTCGGCCAGGATCATCACACATCCTCATACCTGAATGTTTTGTGCTGTGTCTCAGACCCTCTGGGGTTTGTTATGTAAAGCCTGGCTTATTTGGAGAAATTAAACCATGCCAGTGTGTTAATAAATGCTATTGATGTTTTACCACTCTCAGGTAGCGGTCTTGAGATTTTCCAGTGGCTTTCTGAGAATAACTCCAATGACAGAATTTTCAGGGCTTTGGGCAGACCTGGGAAGCAAACAGCCCTTAGCATTTACTCAATTCATTCTAATAATCCTCTATTGGGTATTGTTATGTCCACCTCGACATTCATTTGAACCAGGTTTTTATACGTAGACACACACGCGCGTATCACAAGGTTTTTACAAGCTCCCCAATCCTCGAGGCTGGCTGGGACTGAAGCAGAACGAGATGGGGGGAATGGTCCTTTACCTTGTTGCAGAGCCAGACTGCACTCTGAGACACAGTATGTTGTTTCTATGTCATTCAACACAGCAGGCAAATTATGGATAAACTAGCTGCCAGATAAGATGCACACATAGATGACGCATTGCAGGTGGAACAGGCAGAAAAAGAGGAGGTGGCAAGAATCTTCCCAACAAGGAGGTCAGGAAGGAGGCTTCACGGAAGAAGTGGCATTTGAGGTGGGCATGACTGGGTGTGATTTCCTCTATGGCTGTGACACAGGTGGGGCAGGGGACGACAGGAAGAGGGAACAGGAGGGTGGAGGCACTCTGCAGGGGAATGCAGCATGATGGGGAGCCGTGGAGCAGAAGGTAGGGAAGGAAACTGTGCCAAGCCTGGGAAGCTCCAATGTCAAATCAAGGAGTTCTTTGCTCTGCAGCCAGAGAACCAGTGTCCATGGTAGAGCAAGGGGACTATGACCTGTTCAAAGTGTCACTTGGGAAGAGCAATCTGGCAGCCACGGTAGGAAAGATTAGAAGGAAAAGACGGGGTAGGTTTGGGTGCTCTGAAGGTCTGGATTAGGCAGTGACCATGAGCAGAGGGGAGGGAGAAATGTGTGAGATTGGTAACAGCATGGCTCAAAGGACAGATCACGAGGAGGAGCAAGGCCACTATCAGAGATGATGAACAGAGATCCAGGATTGGCAGTAGGAGAAGTTTGATTTTGGACATACCGTGTTTTGAGGACATGGCAGGATTTCCAGATAAAAGTGTCTGTCGGGGTGTTGGAAATGCCAAGTGCACACCATCTCCTGTTTTTTGTGTAGTTACACAAAGACCTGCTGAAATGAAGAACCATCAGCTCAGAATCTAAGTATACTATCAATGTGTTTAATGCAAAATCACAGTCCTCTTTGGAGACAAACTCAGTGACAGCATCATATGTAAATGACCCAGACCCATCTCTGCATTAAAAAGTGATGTCATCCTGCCTGAGGTGGACTCGACATCACTTATTGTTTGGAATGTGCAGTCCCACTTTGCTATAAGGGACCCCAGGATTTGCTCCAAAGGCTGGGCTGTGAATCCTGGTTCTGCTGCATGTTATTTCTGTAAAGTCTTCCACCTGCAGCATGGACGGGCTGGACTCCAGGGCTCTCTACAACACGGTGGCCTGTTTATCATGAAGAGGGGACAGAAATGTGGCATACGGCTTGGTTCGCAGTGTCCACTGGACTCATGCCTACAGAATATGAAGCAGAGGAACTTGGGATGCACTCCTCTCAAGTTCATCAGTGCAGATATCCACTTCTCCCCTCACCATTCCCCACGGAGAAGACAGATGTGCATGAGAAATGCCAACAACTCTCTCAGTTGTCACTACGGTCACTTCAAGGGGAACTAGAAAGATGAGGGAGGCTCAGTCTTGAGGAGCTGACACTAATGAGGAAGATAAACAAAAGGTCAAATATGATAAGGGCAGCAAGTAGCGAGAGCACAGCTAGGGAGGAAGAAAGGTATTCTGGAGTTGATGTTAGGGATGGGTGGGGGAGGGTGTGGGCAGCGCAGGGGAGCAGGCACTCCAGGATGAAGGCACACCATGAAGGAAGGCGCTAAAGAGAACAAAGAGCAAGAGTGCTGATGAGGAGCACACCAGGCCTTGAGGAACCAGGGCATGTGAGAGATGTGGTGCGGTCTGCAGGTTGGGGTCAGCTGGGGGAGGATCTTGAGTCTCCCGCCAAGTTAGACTTGTATTCAGTAGACAGTGCGGTAAGTGCTATGGCCTGTGTTTGAGTTGGGAATGAATGCCTCCCCTTCGGGAGCCAACTGCAGCCACAGGTCAAGTATATGGTTGTAGGAGAACTGAGTGGGAATGCTCCGAGGAGCGATAGGAGGGGTTACAGGAATGACCATGAAGTCAGATGATCCAGTCTTCCTGCCAGAGCCTTGAGAGGACTGAGAAGCAGAGGGTGTGTGAAGGCCGAGAAAGAGGGAGGTCTCCAGGACTCCATCCAGCCTGAATAATTAAGGAAATGGTAGAAGTAGTTAGAAGTCAGGAGCTGGCTTACTTTGGGTTTGTGGAGTTCCGGGTATGGGCGGCACCCCAGCAAGACTATTCAGATGGACAGAGGGTGTGAGACCACCTCTCTGAACGATCAGGACAGAGGCCCTGATTTGGTAATCAGCGTGCAGAGGTGACCCCGATGCGGTGGGAGCTGGGAAGGCATACAGGGCGTGGAAGAGAAAAGGGCCCAGGGCTGTGTCCCAAGGCCGTCGTGGTCAGGGCGTGGGGAATTCGGGGAGCCCCCCAGTCTGAGGACGGCTGGGTCCCCGTGACTGTGTGCCCTCGGGCCACAGTCTGGGAGTGCTGACGTGGGAAGTGGGGATTAGGTGATTCGATCTCTTCTCCTTTTCTCAGAGTGGGACCCAGTCTGGGGTACTGATTAGCCCAAGGGCACAGGCTGCCGGTTCTAGATCCAGAATTAGGAACTTCCCATCGAGTACCTTGTGCCACGGCCACACTGCCATTTTACAGCCCTCACCCCCAAGTATTCATAAAAATCATTCAGCCCTCAAAGACCCAGAACACTTTAGTTTTAACCTGCACGTTAGGCCGGGGCTCTAGCAGGTATTTTCGCCTTAAGCCGGGAGGAGGCGGAGGCTGGGCTGGGCCGGTGCGCGCGCCCCGCGCCCCCGAGCGCGCCCCTGGGAGCGCGCGCTGCGCCGGCCCGCCCGTCCCGACCCCACCTCCGGAGCGCGTCCTCGCGCTCATCCCCGCGCCCCCGCCTCACCCCCGGTGCGCGCCTCCGGCCGAGCACGAACCCCCCCCCCCGTAAACCTCCCCCACTCCCCCCGCGAACGCGTCCCCGCCAGCCCCCGTCCCCATCCCCCCGCGCGCGTCCTCGTCCGCAGTCCCCCGGTTCCCCGTCCCCACCCCCCTCCCGGGCCCCGAGCGCGCCCCCGTTCCCGGGCGCCCCTCTCCTCCGCCCGTTCCCCATCCCCACCCCCGCGCGCGCCCCCGCCGTCAGCGCGCACGGGCGGAGCGGCGGGCTGGCGCCCGGGCCGGGGGCGCGCTCGGGGGGCCGGGCGGGGGCGCGGGCGCGAGGCCGCGTGGCGGGGCCGCGCTGAGGAGGCGCCGGGGGAGGAGCGCTCGCTGCGCCGCGCCCGGCCTGCCGCGCTCGGTGCGGGTCCGCTGGGCGCGAGGAGCGGCCAGACCGCGGCCTGCGAACAAAGGGAGGCGGCTGGGGCGGGGGCGCCGCGAGCATGGCGGACCGCGGCCTGGAGGGCATGGCTCTGCCCCTGGAGGTGCGGGCCCGGCTGGCCGAGCTGGAGCTGGAGCTGTCGGAAGGTAACAGGCCCCGCGCCCGGCCGGGCCGCGCTGGCGCGGGGAGGGCCGGGGCCGGGGCCGGGGGCCGGGCGGGGGTCCCGGGCCGGGGTCCCGGGCGGAAGGGGGGGTCCCGGGCGGGGGTGCGGGCGGCCCTGTTCCCGCCCCGGCTGCCGCGGGCTCGGCCCGGGCCCCCCGCGCTGCGGGCTGCCGGCGGGTCCCCGCGCTGCGGCGGGGCCTGGGGCGGGGACGGGCGCCTGGGCCGGGGGCGCCTGGGCCGGGGGCTCCTGGGCCGCGCTGCGCCGGCCTGGCGGGGAGCCGTGTCCTTGGTGCGCGTCCGTGCGCTCGCCCCGCGGCCGGCGCTGGGGACACGTCCGCGTCGCACGGCCCGAGGTGCCGGCTGGCCTTATTCGAATGCGAAACTTGGCGTTGTACTTGGGGGTTTGAGCTCGGCGGCCCGGGCATCCTGGCTTCCAAACAGGCTGTCCTCGCTGGGGGAAGATAGCGCTACTATTGTTCTGTGTGTTGTGATGGGAAGGTTGGGTGAAATCGTAAAACCTCCCCCCCTCAGGCCAGGTTTGGTGTCTCGCTCTCATCTCTCATATTTAGAATTTGTGACAGATTTGCTACAGGGATTTCATGGAGTGTTATATGCGGTTTCTTAGTTGCTCCTAATGGTGGGGTCATGTGCTCAACTGTCATAAGTTTTAGATCGGGTTTTGCTGTCTCTTAAAAAAGGAAGCACTGAAGTTCCAAAATGTGCGATGTTTAATATATATTTGGTATTCACCCAGCTCACCCTGCAAAGGCCACTGCCATAATGTGCAGTGGGGATAGGCTGGCTGGTTTTGAATTTACATTTGGAGCAGTTCAGCCTGGTGAACTTTTGTGTGTGTGTGTGTGTGTGTGCGCGTGTGTGTAACGGTTTTGTGAGGGCGGGGAGCCAGAAAGTACATTCATTCGTGCCAATTTTCATCAGCAGGGAGGAGCTGATGTTGACTTTATGTTTTCCTTTTTAACACATTCAGGGCAAGGAAGGGATAACCGTGGGGGCTGTGGCATGGTGTTAACTGCCTTTTCAGTCCTACATAGACTGGGCATTTTTCGATTTTTCTGTTTCAAATTTGGGGTTCTGCAGGGTATTGTGATGTTCTGTAATGTGAAGCAGTCCCGTGGGAGGAGAGGAGGTTGTTTCCTGGACTCTGTGTGCTTAGCAGACACTATTCCGGCTGGTGGAAGGCGAGGAGGACTTTGCGAGTACCTCAGAGGACCTGAAGGCAGGGGATCCAGGGCAGTATCCAGCTGGGGACAATATTTAGATTTAAACTGCTGGATGAAGTGTGCGGTGTGGGCAGATGGCTCAGAGGGATGGACTCTCCATTGGAAAATGTTTGCCCAAGTTCTGTGATTTTTGTCAGTGTTCAGATGGGGTTCCTCCTCACTTTGCAGCCGTCTTGGCCCTCACTGCACGTTGTATTCTTGTGTTCCTTATGGCACCCCAACATTCATGCTTCACCCCCAAACGCTTTTGTTGTGTCCACATTACACGGACCATAAGTGTCCATACCCCATCTGTGTTACCGAAGCGGGAAGCTGTCCCAACTCAACAGGACGGCAGCCCTTCCCCCGTCAGCCTGGACGTCAGCTCGACAGTTGCTCCTCGAGTCTGGGACAGTGCTGAGGACGTGTGTCCTGGCCCCGGGGTGCACGGGGAGTGGTTGCTTACGGGTGTGAACTTGGGGCACACTTATCTGTTCAATGACACTGGCCTGTCACCAGCCATCCGTCTTGGAGGGTGAGTAATATGTTTCACTGCCCAGAAGATGGCAAAACCACGTTAGACCAAGGTATGCTCAGTCTAGTTCTCCATGTACGCCTTCCATCTGTACAGATTTTTAAAAAGGGCTTAATGAGTTTCTTATCAAGTGTTTGGGCAGAGAAAGAGGTATGTGTTTGCATGTGGGAAGTACATTGTTGTTTTCCTCTCTGTGCAAACCTTGCTAGACCTGGGCTGAACGCTGAAGAATGAAACAATCACAGGGTTGGCGCATTGGCCTGTCCAGCCCCCTGCCCCCATACGTTAGCTGTGTCATCTTTGACTTGCTTTGTCCATGCTGAGTTGATGGAACGTTCTTTAAGGTTATTTGGAATTTCAGGTCTTCTAACCACATAGAACAGTTTTACTGACTTAAATTAGATGAATCAACTTGTTTTTCAATGTTGCTTCAGAGAAGAAGCCCAAGATTGGAAGGATCAGAAATCTCAGTCTTTTTTACATTGTGGAACTTAAAAATCCCCCAGCATATCCACTTGCAAAGTGAAAAGTTAAAACAGCTTTTATCACGTTTTATCCTCAGTCATGATTCACGTGGAGAGAATTCTTTAAATCAGCCTTCATCATTTTATGACAATATCAGAAACTATTGTGGAAACACGTGGAATTTCCAGGGCTTCGTTCCTTCAGAGGAGGATGGAAAAACAGTTGCATTTGAAGCATATAATATAGGTTGAAAAAGCAGAGCAAACTATCCTCTTGGAGTTCCTGTATGGCCTGCCCACCGTTGGTTGTCTGTGGTGCACATCTCATACGCAGGTGCAGTTTGGGTTTGTACTTTCTGTTGTTACAGATCCTGGTGTTGTATTATGTTAGTGGGTCATCGTTTGGTAAAGGGTTGCAGGTTGACTTCTTGGCTGCAGAACTCCAATTTTTGCTTCCTGCTCCGCTGGTTGCCTCCTTTTTTCTTTCCACCCTGTGCTTCCCTCACTGGGGAAAGCCTCTCACTGCAGAACAGCATTGTCAGCAAAGTGCAGGGGCTCTCTGCGGGGAGATGTGGCAGGCAGCCCCTCCTATGGGCACTGACAGCCTCCAGTCCACATGTCTGGATCCAGTCGGCGGTGTGGGGCTAGGATTGTTGGTCTGGGGCTCAAAGACTTGGGGCTGGATGCAGGGTGCCATGGGGAGCGGCCATGGCTCCTTTCCCACATTCTTTCCCCTAAAGCATTTCTTCTTTCCTTCCTGACACTTCTGCCTTTTGGAATTGTGCATTTTCCTTTTTGGCTTTAAGAAGACCCCCAAGTAATTTCATTAATGGGTAAGCATTTTTTTTTGACTTAAGGAAAAACTTTAAATAGAAACATCAGGCAGAGTAGAGAAGAAACAGAAAACTTAAAAAAGACGTGTCTTCAAAAAATTTCAGTTGTTGATTGAAATTTAGCAGTAAGTTTCTGTGTGAACTGGTGGGTTGTTTCGTGGGCTGTGCATACACACTGCCCTTCTCTCATCCAGGAGTAGCTGAAGTCTTATTTTGGTAGAACTTAGGGAAACCACCTAGTGTTACAGCCCGTGAAAATTGTTTGGTGTTTGTAGAAGAGAAGTCTTTTTACGAAATAGATGCTATGTTTTACATTTCGTGGTTTTTGTTAGTATGTCTGTTAGCTTCCTAACTTTTGCTTGTGGGGGTTATTCAGTTCATGCTCTGCTTTGCTAATTAGTCTACCAAATTATTCAACGAATGTTATGATCCATCGCAGAGTCTGGCTGAACACTGTCTTGGTGAGTGAGCGACTGCTTAAGGAGGGAAGTGGGAAGCTAACCTAATGCTGGTTCTTTGCATTGGTCAAGGGGCCAATGCCTTTTTTTTTTTTTTTTTTAATTGCAGAGGAGTGGTTCACAGGCACATTCCTGACACCAAAGAGTAAAATCTGAAAGAGATGGCCAGGTGGAATGTTTGTAGATTTTCAGGGCTGTTGGACATGAGGTAGCAGAAACACGTAGCTCTAGAACTCAAGTCCCACCCCTGTGTTCTCAGAGGGCCCCGTTACTGCAGACTTGAGGGTTCTGCTGGAGCTGACGCTTTAGGACCACTTCCAAAGTCAGTAAGACCCAGCTGTGTCTTAACGCAGACCAAACTGTGCGGACGTCATCCTCACCGAAAGGACATAGTTGACTCTGGAAAACAAATGTGTGAAAAAAATGTTTTCTTGCGGAGGCTCATTGATAATTTGTCATAATTGGAGAGGAGGAAGGGAAGGGGTCAGCAGGTTCAGGGAGAGAGCTGTGGGGCCTCAGGGACCCTGTCCACCTGGATCAGACCTCAGGATTGGGGATGGAATTTGTTATATCCATGTCAGAGTTGTCAAATAGCAGAGCATTGTGGTGAATGAGATGGAATACTTGGCATGGTGGCCCTAAAATACCGTCACCTGCATTTTAAAAGAATATTTACAAAATGGCAGCATCGATACGTGTGGGATTTGAAATGTGTGGACGTGAATTATAAGAGTTCTTCAGAGTCAGGAAAATAGTTAAATTTGAATGTTCTTTTCTCGATGAATAAATATAGATGTCAAATTTAGCCAGGGAGCTAGGAGAGTAAACACACCATTAAAGGCACAGATCTGTAAAATTGTTCCAAGTGCTTGCAAGATATTTGCAACGCGGTAGTTATGCTTAGATCTGAGCTTTACGGGGGTCAAAGCGGTAACAATGACTCTATTTTGTTTTATACTGGGCCCACTGGTTTTATACTCTTGTTATGGTTTGGACTACAAGCTGTTGGATGTTATGAGTCACTTTCTGCCTTCCTCATCCCAGCCTTTTTCAAAGGGGTTGTCTCTTTTTTTAGAGCTAGTTTATTTTTTTTTAAAGCAGTGATTTATGGGATGAGTTGTAGCTTATTCTGACTCGTAAAGAGAATGTATTGGATAATCTTCATTTGATGTCATATATATGTGTATATATATATATACTGATTTACCAGTTCAAATCCTAGTCATATTATTAAAGATCATTTCCAGTTCTTGTCATAATTGCTCGAGCACCCTGAAAAAAAAATCAAGTTCTTGGCTGCAGTTACTTGACTTAGTTTGCGTATCACTGTTTATCCTGGGAACAGGGGACATTTTATCTGTTGTAACATGCAAGGCACCGAGGGTGATGTGATAGGTTTCTGGCCACTTTTTATCAGGCTGGCTCTCTTCTCACAATCCAGCTTCTCCTTTTCTACACCTCTACTCTCAAGGTT